CTTCCTCTCCCTCTCTCTCTCCCTCCCTCCTCTCTTCCTCTGTCTCCATCTCTCTCCCTCCCTCTTTCTCTCTCCCCCTCACTCTCAGGGTTGGGTATAGAACACAAGGCTTCACACATGCTAGGCCAACAGCCTTCTACTGAGCCAGCCTTGTCTCTTGCTGCTCTCTTAAAGGCTTGACAAGAGTGTGTGGGAGGGCTCTAGTGTGGTCAGGTTGCTCTTATGGCTTTACCATCTGCTCTCTGCAGAAGGACATCTGGGGTCAGGAGGGTAGAAGGCTAACCAGTGTCTGGTAAGCTGTGGGCCCTGACGAGAAGGGTCGGTGTCCGGGCTGAGAAGTTGCACTCACTGCACACAAGCATGGAAGGGGAGCAGAAAGCTGGAATGCAAAGGTATTTTCACTTTGTGGTCAAAGCCAGCTTCTTATGGATGGGAACCTAGAGAACTGTGTTAGGGAAGACCTGAAGTCAGGCCTGGGAAGATCTGTCCACCCAGAGGGAGCTATCCTGGTGGGGGAGGGGACAGGAACAGGAGTAAGGAGAGCATTTGTCATTTTGCCCTCTCTGCTGTAAACTGACACCTTCTGTGTCAACACGCAGTCTGAAGGCTCCCAAGTGCCTGGCCCTGGCCCAGGGGGAGAAGAACCTCAGCCTGGTCCAGTGTGGGCTCTTCATCGTATTCTTGATGTTACTTGGGAACACCAAGAGCTCTGCAGAGTCCTAGATTCCTCTGTGTGGTAAACCACCAGGCACTGTTTGGCAGAGAGAGAAGAGGCATGGCTAGTGAAGCCCTTCTTCCCTGCACTTCTCTTTTGCCTTGCAGGCCGCAATCGGGCACCGATTCCCTCCCCAGGGCCCGGCTCCCTCGCCTTCTTCTATTTCCTTCTATTCTTTTGACATCAGATTTTTGGTCTAAAACCCCTCTAAGACTCCTCAGACACATTTTCTGGGTGACTTTGGGACAAAGATGTCTCCACTCACTGCCTCTTCCCTCATTTTCCTAGACAGTGTGAATATTATTGTTATCGAAATGGCCAGCTAGCAAATGGTCACCACCAGCTAGCAAAGCATGCTCTGGTCACACCTCTTTTAACTTCACTCATCCCTGTAGAAATAGGTAGGAATGAGTTAGCAATCTTCAGAGTTTAAAAAAGGTAGGGACCTGCCCAAGTTTCTCCTGATTTCTCTCCCTTGTCCCATCTTGTAGATCATAGACTAGATAGAAATCCCCAGGTGTGAATGACCTGAAGCCTGGAGCCTCGAAGGAACACTCTCTCCTACTTGCAGTTCCAAAGTTACCAGCTGGGACAAAGTTGCCAGTGTGGGACTAGTAAGGAAACTCAAGGTATGTGTGGTCAAGAGCAGGTGGCTTAGTAATCAAGATTACTGTGTGGTCCCAATCAGTCCCTTTTCTTGCCACAATACTTCCCCTTGTTAAAGTATATTTCTGGGTAGAGAGGCCAGAGATGGGTCTGGCCCAGCCTATTGGCCAAATACCAGTTCTCTGTTTCCTTCCTGTCACTTCTATCCACAAGCCCATCCCACAGCCCATGTTATCTCAGGAAATTTGTAGTATTTGTCTCCAGCAGCCATCTGGGGGCTGACCTCAGGCCCGCTAGTGGCTACCCAAACAAGCTCCCAGTGGTCACTCACATTTATTGATCACTTATGGGTACAGAGCCCACGTGTTGAGCAAATATGCTAAGGACAGAGGGAAGGAGAGGCATGCAAACCCCACAGAGGCCACCCAGGCTTCCAGGGAGCCTGACCTCACTATCCTTTCACCTGCCCATCTCTCAACCCATCATACAGTTCCCTACCAAACCCTAGTCCTGCACCAGGCTCTGGGTACGAACCGCAAAGAGAGGGAAGGAAGAAAGAGGCAGAGGTCATCACCTCAAACAATCACCCTTCTTGCACCAAAGTCATTCTGAAGGTCAGAAGAGACCACTCTCTCTCTAAGTAGGTGTCAGACCCTTAATCTCAGGGTGAGAACGAGACAGACGTGTCCTGTTTGGCCAGTGCCGCTCCCCAGCTTCCTGCTATGCAGTTAGAAGATATCACCCATCTTTGTAGAAACATATTATTTTACTTTGAATATGTGTGTGTGTGTGTGTGTGTGTGTGTCTGTGTGTGTGCGTGCGCGCGCACTCGAGGTGGTACCGTCTATGGAGGTGTTGAGATCAGGTACCAAAGAGACCAGAAGAGGGAATCAGAGTCCTTGGAGCTGAAGTGTCTGGTGGTTGTGAGCCACTAGACAGGGACCCTGGGAACCAAATTCAGGTCCTCTGCAAAAGCAATCCTTGCTTGCTCTTAATGGCTAAGCCATCTCCTCAGCCCTAATCGCCTGTCTTTATAAACTCTGAGGAGGGTGGTTTCAAATCCTAAGCATATTTTTAGGAGCTCGAAATCTCTTTCAGAAATGTAGAGATGCTGGGGTGTTTGTTTGTTCGAGACAGGGTCTCATGTAGCCCAGGCTAGCCTCAGCTCACCATGTAGACAAGGATGACCTTGAATTTCTGGTATTCCTGACTCCACCTCCCTGAGGCTGAGATTTCAGACATGCACCACCACATCCAGCGTACAGATACGTGTTTGATGAAGAAGACTACTGAGAGTTTATTGGCATGCATGTCGTCATTTGAATTAGTAACCTCCAATTGTTTGACAGGTGAACTCCTTCAAAACAGGGAGATCTGCAATCAAAGGGGCTCTGGCTTGGTGACATTGGCACTGTCTGGCCCGAGGTGTCTTGGCATGGTGGCTGGCTGGGGGAGAAGTGGCCTTACTGAGACAGCTTCGGTATATCAAACTCAACGCTTTCACTCAACAGATACCCAAGTGAATACATGATCATTCCCACTTTACCGCGAACGCAGACTGGTTCGCAGGGGTGAGGTGGCTACTCAAAGTCCCTTTTCTGACACCAGGCTGAATGGCTCCGGGGCCAAACTGGAGGTGGAGGTGACCTGAGTCCCCACAGGGCGGTTGGTTCCTCTGAGTTGGCCCCAAGAGGCTGGGCCTGGTTGCGAGGAACCAGGGTATGGAACCGCACAGACCGCTCTGGGACTGTGAGGTGAAGGCCTCAGCATATGGGAAGTCACTAGCGCGTCGGGGCTCCTCCAGGCAGATGTGAGTTTCTGAGATCTTCTAGGCCAGGCTGGGGTCCTGAAACCCCTTCAGGAGATTATGGAGGGCTGGGGATGGAGCCAGGGAGCAGAGGAGGGGAAAGAGCCAAGGCCAGTCTGGAGTAGAAACAGGAGAAGTGCAAGAAATGGAGGGGGAGAGAAGGGGAGCCCTTCCTTGGGCAGGAACCCGGGGGCCCCCTCAGCGCAGGCTGTCCGCAAAGCGATTCTGCAGATGGAAGGAATTAAGTGGGAGGAGGAGGGTCCTATGGTGATAGCGAGAGGAGGGTGTGTGTGTGTGTGTGTGTGTGTGTGTGTGTGTGCGCGCGCGCGCGCTCGTGCGTGACAGTGTGTGCGCGCGTGTGTGTATATTTGAGGGAGGCAAGGGAGACAGAAGGAAGCTCCAAACGAGACACGTCTAAAGAGGTGTCAGGGACCACCGAGGCCGTCACAGAAATACAATCAGACTAACAGCAGGAAGAGGGAAGGAGAGAAGGAAAAGGTGCGAGAACGAAGAGATTGGGGAGCGCTGGGAGTGATGGGAACCAGCCTGCCTTAGAGCAGGCTGAGTGTTTGGGCCCAGTTGGTTCTGAGCTCCGGGCTGGGGAGGTGCGCTGGCCGGGGATGGGGCTGGGGGTCTCGGAAGGGGCCCCTCCTGGTGTAGGGGTCGGTGGGGTGCTGCATGTGAGGACCCGCCCTCTTTCTTGTCTCGCTCCTCCCCTACATCCATATTCAATGAAACAACCAATGGGGGAACGAGGACCGGGACGGACCGGTCGGGGTGGGGCGGGGTCTCAGTGGACCCCACCCTAGGAGCGGTCCCGGAGGGGTCAGCGGAGAGGCAGATAGCGGATCCCGGGGCGGGGAGGAGCGGGCGGCGGACGGGGCGGGGCCAAAAGTTTCCTGCCCAACTTTCTCTGCCTCCTTCCTCCGCCCGCGCGCGCCCACGGCTGCAGTCCGGGGAGGCGGCGGCGGCGGCAGCGGCGGCTGCGGGCAGCGCGCGGGGCGCGGGGCGCGGGGCGATAGCAGTCAGGGCCGGGGCGGCTGGCAGTGGGCACAGGCTCCCCGGTGCCCGCCCCTCCGCCGGGAGGGGGGCGCGAGCGGGCGGCCGGGGAGGGGCCGGCACCGCCACGGCAAGATGAGCCTGCTGTCTGCCATCGATACGAGCGCCGCCTCGGTGTACCAGCCGGCCCAGCTCCTCAACTGGGTCTACCTGTCGCTTCAGGACACACACCAGGCTAGTGCCTTCGATGCCTTCCGGCCCGAGCCACCCGCCGGCGCCGCGCCCCCGGAGCTTTCCTTCGGCAAGGGCCGCCCGGAGCAGCTGGGTTCTCCCCTGCACTCCAGCTATCTTAACAGCGTCTTCCAGCTGCAGCGCGGAGAGGTGGGTGCCCCAAGCGCGCGCCAGCTCCGCGCCCGCTGCTTCAGGCCCCTCTTCTATCTGCTCCTCTCTTCCTGGCTTGTCCCGGGCTGGCCCCGCATTGCCCGGCTCGGCTTGGCTTGCCTTGGATCAGCTTTGCCAAACTTGCCGCCCGAAGTCCCTGGGGCGCCTGGAGCGCGTCACCTCCCGGCAGAGCAGCCCGGAGCAGCTCAGGCCTGGGCAGGGCCCTCCCGCCCCTTCTCCGAGTCCGGAGTTCTGCTCCTAGTAAGCAAGCTCAGCGATGTCTCCGGATTAGGTTCAGACTGCCGGGGTGCGGCTAGGGCGGGGAGCCCCTTCTTAGTCTTTCCTTCTCCCAACCCTATCAACTTTTCTGGCTGCCGCCAGCTGGGACGAAGGGTTGCCGAGCCTGCTCTGAACTCTTCTGGAAGGGCCTAAAAGAATTCTCCCCACCCCCGACCTCTACCGTTCTTCGGTTCTTCGCCTGGAGGGCTCCTCCGAAAGCTGTGGCTCTTCCAGGGGCTTTTGCTCCTGTTCCCACCACTTGGGAACCCCTAGATCCACCCTGCAGCTGCTCGCCCTCCCCCAGCCACATAGGAAGTGGTTTTTGAGGGCTTGACCTAGCAGACTGTTCTGTCCCCTGCCTTCCCAAGCTGGAAGGAAATGAAAGGGAAATCCTTGGGGGGGGGGGGGGGGTTGGCTGTGGCGATGGGAGAGAGGGCTCCAGCTGCCTAGTGCCTTCTCCCAAAACCTGGGATGTGTTGCAAAGGCTGCTTGTTCAATGGATCCGGTTACAAAGTCTACTGGGAAGTGCATGTCCTCAGCGAGATCAATGCACTGATGGCCATGACCTCCCAGGCCCCTTTGCAGGGTCTTATCCAGAGCCTTCCCAGAATCCATCTACCAATGATCCCCCCTCCCTACCCCCATTTACTCCAGTTTGGGAACTGCTGATACCCTCTGTGCCGCTTTCACTTGCCGCCTTGTGGTTTCCCTGTGTTAAAAGGTACACGAGGTAGAGGGACGCATACAGGGGCGGGGGCACTTTCATATTTCTTCTGACCTCGAGGTGGGCTGGGAATAAGGCCTGCATATGCTGAGATATGCTGGGTTTGCGATGTAGAGCCGGGAGGTCTCCCTTTCTGGTCTCAGGTGTGTTCAACACGGCCACGATCTACTGGAGGACCCGTGGACATGTAAAACATTGGCATGAGGTCGACACCTCCAGGCTGCCCTGTGGAACAGAAGTGGTACAGGAGGGCTGGGCCTAGTGGCAAGACTGGAAAGGTGCCTGCAGAGCCAGGGGGAAGTGCGTGTGTGCCAAGGCTCTTTATAAACCATAACACGTGCTCTCTGCCCTGAGGAATGGTCCCTGGCTGGGATCTTCCTTTCTTGTGACAATTTGTTGTCGCTTGGGGAGCTGGCTTTAGGTGACGAATGACTTTGGAGGACTGTTTGTAGAGTATTTCTTCATTGCTTGGGTCTTTTCCATTATTAATTCTCTTACCAAGCCTATGTTGAGTTCTATGCAAGGATGGGAATGAGGAGTCTGGGGCTAAGAGGGGAGTCATAGACAATACATTTGCAAAAGGAGGGTGAGTGGATGGGGTGCTGTCATGGCTCATAGTTGGTGCTCATACAGGTGTGCTCAAGGGAGGGTCTTTCATCTAGGGAGAAGCTGACCATGACCCAGAGGTCCAGCAGGGTCCCTAACAAGTCTTTACTGGACTCCCTTTGCTCCAACCCTGGCATCACCTTATTCCTCACACGTGCTGTCTGCTATGTTGCCCATCAATCTGTGATCCTCTTTGAAAACTTCAAGCCTCCAGGATCCCAGCTGTGGCTCAGATGCCAGGCCTGTCTCCTACCACTTCATTGCTGTGTTCCTCAGTTTCCCCCAACAAGGGACCCAGGGTGGGAGGAGCTGGAGCAATGGGTGGGGAAAAATCCTCTTGTGATCTGACTCTAGGGAGCTCCCATGTCTCTGGGTCTCAGCTTTCCAGCTGAGCAGATTTAATCTCTGCTGTCACCCAAGGTGGTATGTTAGAGGTTGAAGGCATATATGAACAAGAAAATATCTGCCAAGATGCAGCCTGGGCCAGGGAGATCAGAGGACTTTTCACACTTAAACGCCCATGGTTTCCTTGGAGGGCTGGAGAGCTGTGCCTACCGACTTCCAGAACGCTCACCTCTCAACCCTTTACCACTTAAACCCCATTAAAACCCCAGCTGTGTTCTTGAGTGTGGCTCCTTCCTGAGGCCAGAGCTTAGTTGACGACCTGATATGGCTGAGAGGGTGAGAAATCCTTCCTGCCCCAGTCAATGCCACCACCCAGGGGCCGGGTGCAAAGGTAGCAAGTTCTGTGTCACAAGAGGAAACTTTAGGAAGGGACCCAGGGTCCACAAGCATTGCCATTCTGTTCGAGGCCTGGCAGGCCCAGTGGCAGTGCCTGTGGATGTGACTTGCATGCTGACCGCTGACCATAGCCCGTCTGCACCGGTCCCTGTGCCAAGAGCCCACCCCCTCCTGAACCGCCCCCAGGCTGCTCCCTCCACAATAGCAAAACACCATGAATGCAGCTGGCATTGGGGGAGGTGAGGACACGGGGCCACAGAAGCTTATTGTGCCCCTGGAACCTCGGCCCCGCGAGCTGAAGATAAGCCAAGGCTTCTGAGTGGCCCTCTGGCCCTGGGAGCAGAGAGGAAGGTGGGAGAGTTTACACCCCAGGGCAGGACAAGCTCCAGAAGGTGGCCTTCAGGTGAACACGGACACTTTGTAGTGTCTTAAAATACTCTGGCTTCTGAAATGAGGTGGCCTGGTAAACCCGACTTTCAGAAACGACACCTGTGGCACAGCTGGATGTCTTCAGAGGCAGATATCTTGGCTGAGCCCCTCCAGGTGCTGTAGAAGGAGGTGGGGCTTCGGAGTGTGTGGGGCGGGTGGACGCATGGATCTTCCTTGCCGAATTCTGTTTGGAATTTAAATTCCCAGCAGGCAGCCACCGCGAATTCCACTTCTGGAAAAGTAGAGTTAAGCATTACCTCTTGGATTCTTAGAGCGGTTCTCAGAGCTGGGCCTGGCAGTCTTTGTATCCCACTCCTACCACACCAGGGAAACGAGACTGCCCCATGTCATTGAACTCAGACTCTCAGAACACATTTTCTCTTTTCTCTGAGAATAGGTGTAGCCGGGAAGTGTGGGCCCCACTGTCTAATGTCCGCCCCTTCTTTGTGTGTGTGGAGAACTGAGGGCTCAAACAGGCTGGAAAGCACAGCATAAGTACTGTCCTTAAGCTCACACAGAGCCCGCTAGCATGGTCAAGGCTCAGAGAGGTCCTGTAATCCAAAATGTGTTACCAGTTCTTCACACCAACATTTCCTGTAGTTAATTCAACCAGAGAATAGTTTTGGCTCAGGATACTTGCAGTGTTCTTCCAACCATCTCCAGGTCCAGGGATGTTCCACTGAGACAGACATGCAGTTCCATGGACTTAGCTCTTCGTCTCCTGGGCTGCATAGCTCTGAACTTCAGGAATGTTTTCTTGGTGTCATAAAGTGGGGGAGATTGCGGGGTCCGCCTTTCTACGGTGCTGCAGGCCCTGTTCTTTGCCACTGTGGCAATTGCAATTTGTCAACGGTACCAAGGGTCTTCAACCCTTCAGCACAGAGATGGCGACGAGAGCATAGGAGAAAAACTATAGGGTTTCGTATAAGGTTCCAGATGGAGGAGGTGTCTCATATTATATTTCTAACATGGGAGGACTGCCATGCGTTCAAAGCCGTCCTGGGCTAGAATAAAGCCCTGCCTCAAAAAATCAAAATAGAGCTGGTGAGGGGGATGGGTGGTTAAAAGGTTCCGACCCCAAGCCTGACTAGCTGAGTTTAATCCCTGGGTCACACATGGTAGAAGGAAGGAACAAACTCCTTCAAGTTGTTCTCTGACCTCTGCATGCATGCTGTGGTGTGTGCCTACAAACACCCACACAAATAAATAATCATTAATTGCAAACATTAAAAACAAGCAAACAAAAGCCTCCAGCCTGGACAATGGTAAGGAGTTTGGGTGAACCAGCACCTGTGCCTACAGCTGGGGTCTGGAGGCTCCCCAGTGTGGACATGTGAAGCAAAGTCACTCTCCTCCTAGCAGGGGGCAAACTTGACTCCCGCAGTCTTTGTGGTCTGGTTGAGATAGGAGGCAGGCAGCCCAAACCTCAGAGGAATATCCCAGAGGTATGACTAGGGAAGGGTCCCCAAATATCTGACTCCTCCCCTTGGGATGCTGAATGGTAACTCAGGCAAGGAGGCTGCCACTTGGTAGGCCTGGATCGCCTCTGTGAAGCTAAGTGGACTGCATAGGTCTGGGCTCAGAGGGAGGCTACACCTTGGGCCGTATAAATCAGGTGGAGGGAGGGCAGGGGCTTCAGTAATAAATTATTAGTGGCAGCAAAAATCCAAGGTGGTGTAAACGGGGACTAGTAAGCAGCGAGCAAACGAGTTTTGTTTTCTGAGACAGGGCCTCACCCTAGCCCAGGCTAGCCCAGGTCAATTCTTGTGCTTTAGTCTCCCGAGTGCTTGGAATACAGGAGTGAGCTACCACCTCCAGTGGGATCTTGAACAGCAAAGCCCTAGAATGTAGTTCCTTGTCACTTCCATTGTATAGAGAGCAAAGCAGAGGCCTGGAGGACTCTGAAGTCATCGTCAGAGCTAGATCTAAATGCTGCATCTCAGCCTCCAGCTATCTCTGTAGGCTGTGTTATAGCTGGTCTCCAAGCTAGCTCCTAACTGTACCTTCCTCATGGCCCTGTGCAGGCCAAGCACCTAGGACTTCCTAACAAACCACAGCGCTGCTCATGTTTTGTCTGGGTCCAAATCTTTTTTCTTTTTCTTTTTCTTTTCTTTTGTCTTTTTGAGACAGAGTCTCATGTAGACCATGTTGCTCTCACACCTGCTGTGTAGCTGCAGATGACCTCGGCGTTCTGATCTCCCTGCCTCCACGGTACTGGGAT